CAAAGAAAACTACAAAACATTACTGCAAGAAAACCAAAAGAAATGTACATAAATATACATGCTATACCATGCTCATGAACAGGAAGATTTAACATCATGAAAATATCGTTCCTACCCAAAGCAAACCTACAGATATAATGCAATACCAATCCAGATTCCATCATCTTTCTTTAAAGAGATAGAAATACACTAATCATCAACTTTATATGGAAAGATAAGAGACCTTAGATAAATAAAGCACTACAAAAGAACAAAGGAGGAGGCCTCACATTCCTTGATCTCCTAACCTACTATATAGCCATGGTACTTCCAGCCTGGTACTGGTAGAATGACAGATACATAGACCAATGGAACAGAACTGAGAACCCAGAAGTAAATCCATCTACCTATGGATGAAGAGTTGATGTCTGAAAAAATGCCAAAGTTATTTAAGTGGGGAAGAGATAGTCTCTTTAACAAACAGTGCTGTCAAAACTGGGTATTCGTTTAAAGAAAAATGAAACAGGACACATATTTCACACCATATAAAAAAACGAACCCAAGCTGATCAAAGACCTGAATGTAAAACCCAAAACCATAAAAACCATACAAGAAAAAATAGGGGCAGACTTAAGGGCATTAATCCAGGGAGTAAATACATTATTGACTGTAACTAAAAATGTACAAACATCAGAAGATAAAATATATATATGACTAGGACCTCTGAAAAATTAGACACTATACACTTCAACAGATTTCATCAGAAGAGTAAAAAGAATACCAACAGACTTGGGAAAAATTTTTGGCAACCATTCAACAGAAAAAGGGCTAATCTATAAATAGACAGATTTATAGAAAACTTAAAAAATTGATAGAAAACTTAAACGATTTAACAACAAAGACAAATAATCCAACTGAAAAATGGGCAGAGGACATGAATAGACACTTCACCAAAGAACAATTTGGGTAGCTAACACACATGAAGAAATGCTCACAATCCAAAACGAGATACACAGTGACACTAATAGCAAAGTTCAAGAAAACAGAAAACAACAAATGCTGGTGAGGGTATGTATGGAGAGAATGAAATGCTCATACACTGCTAGTGGAACTGTAAAATGGTGCAACCACTACAGAAAATGGTGTGGTACTGCCTTAAAAAACTGGAAATAGAAATATCATATAATCCACAATAGCAAAAAAGATGGAAACAACAACCTAAATGCCCATCAGTTGAGGAATGGATCAATAAACACAATGGAATACTTCCTAATATTAAAGAACAATGATGAATATGCAAAGCATCTCAAAACATGGATGAACTTAGAGGTCATTATGGTGAGTGAAACTAATCAATCACTAAAGGGAAAATACTGTATGAGACATTTATTGTAGACAGTCAAGAAAAGGGTTTTACTAAAAGAAATACTCTTTGATGGTTACCAGGGGTGAGTGGAAAGGCAGGTTAAACCAGTAGCTAGAGGATAGACACACATTAACTTGGGTGAAGGTGAGGAAAAAAAATTCAACATGAGCCATCACAGAAAGAGAATGAAGTCTTAAGACAAAATTTTGTCTCAATTTGCACTAACAGTTTAGTCATGGATAAATACTGTCACTTCTCTGGCCTATTATTTATCTGAGATCGTAAGATAATTCCAAGGTTTATACAAATTCCACTACTAGATGTCCAGAAACTTGTTTGTTCTTGTGTTCCTTGTCTTAATACTATCTTCCATTCTCCTGTTCATAATCTTGGATATAAAACTCAGTAATATCTCTCTGCCTACTCCTTACCCTATCCTCCCTTAGCTAGCCAGTTACTACTGTTTATGGATTATACTTCTATGGTACTCTTTACTCTATTTCTTTCCTATTTTAATATTACTGCTTTAGTTAAGACACTACTTTTTATTGGCCATTTTTCAACTTGCCTCCACAATTATTCTCTTAAGGAAGAGCCTTGACCTCTGCTGAGCTATGCCACAGATTTCCTGACTATCACACTCACAATCTTGGAAAGCTCTCTGTTACCTAAAAAAATTAAATTCCAACTATTTTCTGAAGGCACTTATGGCTGTCTGTTGATAAGGCTTCACTCAACTTTTTCAGTGTTATCTTTGTCAGATATTAAGAACGCCACTCAATATCTGAAATAAAAAGGCAAAGTTGAATTTATCGTTATTGTAATAACAAAAAGCTATGCTGGCCAAATATATTTCCACTGAGTAGAGTCAACTCCTAACCTTATATAGGGTTTTGGGAAGCAGGGAATTTAGGTTATTACTGGCTTTTTGAGGCTTAAGAGTTTGACATCTGTAGAAGCATGGTTATTCAAGTGAGAATGCTGTAGATTGGCTGGTACTCAGAAGTGTGTTTACTGGAGTGAGTTCCTGACTGGCTGATTATCAGAAGGGAGGAGATGACACCTCAACCTGACAGCTAAGTCGTGTTATGGTTGACCAACTGAGCAAGTTTAAAACTGTTTCTTATGACATGCTACCTCAGTTCCAGAGCAATTCATTTTTCCCAAGTTTGTAGAAAATGTTCTCATCTTCAAGTACATTCCATTATCAGCCACTAATTCAGTCACAATTAAACATGTGTACTTTGATGTGTGCATCAAGCTAAAATAATTTATCACTGGCTCTGTGTGATAGTTAAGTTTGTGCCAACTTGGCTGGGCCTGGATGAGTGGCTGGGCAGGTGGATGTAGTATTCCCCATGATGAGACTGGTAATCAAACTCCATGATGGAATCTACTGTGAGCAGCTGAGTAGCTGCCCTAGGGATGTGGTCTGCTTCCTGTATATAAGGAGAAGCCTTGGGGATAGTCTCTAGCTTATGGCATACTTGAATCCTGAATGTAGCCGTGTCATTCAGCAGCCTGCCACGCTCTGCTGACCTTGGGACATCAGTGGACTTGAATGAATGGCCTACCGTGTGGTTTGGTAACATTGAGACTGTGCCATTTTATTTGTCGACCTTGGGCTTGTTAGCTTCAGCAGCCAGTAGCTGCCTGAGTGAAGAGATGCCTCTGGCTTCAGTGGGCTGGGAGCTGGAGGCAGAGCTGAAGCCCAAGGCTGAGGGGCTTTCACTCAGCCCCTAGAGCATGGCACTTTGAACTTGCACTTCTAGCCTCCCAAACTGTAAGGGAATAAACTCCTGTTTGTTAAGGCCATCCCATTTGTGGTATATTCTTGTCAGAGCAGCACTAGGTAACCAGAACAGAATATGATACTAAGACAGTTGGGTTCTGCTCTGACAGTTACCTAAAATATGGAAACAGGAGTGGAGTGCATCCTTGACCCTAGAACCCTGGCAGAGACTCCGGCATATGGCATGAGACAGCAGGAGCAGAGTCAAGAGACCAGCATAAGAGATAGCAGGAGGACAGCCAAGAGACCAGCATGACAGATGGCAGTAGCAGAGCCCAGAGACTAGCATTAAACAGCAACAGGCATATCAGCCCACAGAGGAGAAAGCCGGGTGCCAATGGGTAGGCGGCTTCCTGGTGGAGTGCGTTGCCTTCAGGCATTAATTGGTAGAAGAGACCAGCTTGAAATGGAGTAGCAGCTTGGCCAGACCACAAGGCAAGAAAGCTAAATGTCCTTTGGGGCAATAAGATTCCTGGCGGAGTGAGTTGTCCTTGAGCATTAATTGGCAGAAGCAGAGACCAAGGAAATGGAAGCAGAACTGCCTCAGCCTGAAAGGGTAGGACCATTGCCTTTAGAGGTGGAACGATTACAGCCCCCTAGGTTGCAAAGAGTTGGACCACCACCAACTTGGTTCTGGATTGTGGGGGTGCTCGTTCATGTGAGCCAGTGGGATGGAGCTATAGCTGCTGCCCAAGAGTGAGGGGGCAGGGCTGCCATGCCCAAGAGGGAGAGGAATGGGGCTCGCCAGGCCAAGGGAGTGAGGTTGCCACTTAGAGGAACTAAGGGACTGGAGCCACCCAGTGGAGGAGATCTGTACAGATACCACTCAATGAAGATCTGTACAGATGACAAGTTGACAAGAGATGAAATTGTGGTAGTTATGTTTGTGTGTCAACTTGGCTTGAGTTGGTTGAGTGGCTAGGCAGCTGGATGCAGTATTCCCCATGATGAGACTGGTAATCAACTCCATGGTAGAATCTACTGGGAGCAGCTAAGTAGCTGCCCTAGGGATGTAGTCTGCTTCCTGCATATAAGGTGAAGCCCTGGGGATAGTCTTTGCCTACGGCATGCTCAGACCCTGTAGGTAACCGTGTCATTGCTCAAGAGCCTGCCATCCTCTGCCGACCTTGGGACTTACAATGGACTTAAGTTAATGGCCTGCCATGTGGCTTGGTAACATTGGGACTCTTCCTTTTTACTTGTCAACTTTGGGGCTTCTTAGCCTCAGCAGCCAGCAGCTGTCTGAGTGAAGAAAAGCCTTTAGCTCCAGTGGGCTGGTGGCAGGAGGCAGAGTTGGACCCCAAGGTTGAGGGGCTTTCACTCAGCTCCTAGAGCCTGGCACTTTGAACTTGGACTTAAAGCCTCCAAATTGTAAGAATAAACTCCTGTTTGTTAAGGCCATCCCATTTGTGGTATATTTCTTGTCAGAGTGGCACTAGGTAACTAGGACACTCTGCTTACAGCAGACTTTTCATCCTTCAAGAGAAATGGTATAGTATGTAAGTAACACATGTTATAGAGACAGACTGCCTGGTTTGATACCACAAATTATCACTTCATGACTGCCTGACCTCTAGCAGGTAATTAACACTAGCAGCAGAATTAAGTTTTAAACCCAGGCATTCTAACTCTAAAGTCTGTGTTCTTTTTTAGCACTGTTACACTGCCTTTAAATTTCAAAATCCTGATGGAAGCAACTGTATTTTATTCACCTCTATAAAAATTTTTCCCCAATAATATATCCTTAATCCTTTCACACACAGTGGAGAACTCAACAAATAATGAGTTAATCAACTAATAAATAAATAGGGAAACAGGAGGAATGTGATCAGTCATACAATATGCTTCATTTCTTTAACTTACTGAATTGCTTCAGCAAATCCATCAGTACGATGTGGCACCACAAGAGTTGGGGTACTCGGAACTGTTCTGTCTTCATCATCAAAAAAATGCTGCTGCTAAAACAAAGACAGAAAACAGGACCTAAACAGGCATGACAAAATGCGTATGTACTACACATGTATTTGTTGTACAAACGAATCACTTATACATGATAGATAAGAACTTACCATGCCACCTATTCCTGGAGTCAACTGAAGGCCACGGCCTACAGACTGCCTCCGGGTCATCTGAATTCTCTGCGTGTCAAGAAAATAATTACATTTATTTTAGGGATTAGGCAAAGAAACAAACTCCAGGTATCAATAAATGTATAAAATAAGTAAAATGTTACATTTGTAATCATCAGAACAATTAGAAAAATTACCACTAATCTCAGAATAAAGAAACCAATTTTTATTTGTGGCAAATTCTTAATTATACAGATTCAAATTAAAACCATTGGTATTTATGACTTTATCTTATTTGTATGTAAACTAATTCTTATCTCCTTAGGTAGTACAAGGAGCTCTGGTGGCATAGTGCCTAAGGCATTTGACTGCTAACCAGAAGGTTGGTGGTTCAAACCCACCAGCCACTCCTTGGAAGGAAGGTTGGGCAATCTACTTCCGCAGAGATGCCTCCTCAGAAACCCAAGGAGGGGTCGCTATGAGTTGGGACCAACTCTACGGCAGTGAGTTTGGTTTTTTTGGTTTGGTTTATATAGCACAGTTAATTTCATGGTGTGTTCCTTCCTTCTAGCTTGGCCTTTATGACTCCTACTAAATGGCTGGTTGGGACTACACAAATGTGAGGTGCCTGTGGCACAACAAGGGGATTGGACTGCTTATTAATAATGTAAATAAGGTACATGGCACCCTTGTGGGGGGTGGGCCACGCAAATAAGCTTTATGGAACCCTAACACAGGGATTAGTCAGTTTTGCCATCTTGCTAGAGCCACCCCAGAGTTAGAAAGCGAGGAATCTTACTATCATCAAGAAAGAAGAGTCAGAGTAGACCATGTCTTTTGGGCCCAAGATCCCTGTGCTAAACCTCAATTCAGGAGACGGAGAGCTGTAATACTTTGCAGAGATGGCGAGATGCAGGAGCAGAGAAACAGTGGAAGCAGACCCAGCAGAACACAGTGCAGTGAGGCCCACAGAAGAAGAAAGCTGAATGCCTTCAGGCAGGAGCCTTGCTAGCAGAGTGGGTTGCCTCTAGGTACTTATTTGTGGACCTCACTGATCCATGGATTGAGAAAATTGAGTGCTTTCAGTCAAGGAGGCTTGCTGGCAGAGTGAAGTGCCTATGGACATTTATTAGCAGAGCTAAAAGAGCTCTGTAATATTTGTCCAAGCAGGGCAGAGGCCAAGGGACTATAGGGCCAAGAGGCCAAGGACCAGAGAAGTGTGCCTATGGGCACTGCTGAGAAGAGGCTGTCCTGATCAAAGAACTCTATCCTGAGTTGTTTCTATCTGCGTTGAACTCTATCCTGAATCGTAACCTGTTACTTCTGCAATGAACCCCATAATCATGAGTTATGTGTGAGTTCTGAGTGGCCACTACAAAGAATTACTGAACCTAGCAGAGAACCAGAGAATGCCTTGAGGAGGGACAGCTGATTTCAGAATTGGCATAAAGTTTGGAACTTAGAGGCATTTTTGACCACCGCCTCACAGGAATTAGCCTTGTGCTATTGATGTTGATCTTAATCCTTCTACCACTGGTGAAGTTAGAGGAGATCAGATGATGCCTACCCCACACCATTTTTACACCTTACATCTAAGTGTTAGCAAGGATGCCTTTCAATCTTAAAGCTGAGTTATCCTTCAGATTTCAAACAGTAGTAATGACTTTTTATAAATTGCATCCTAGTGTAGATGATTATAAACTCATCTGAGTTGTGTTTATTTTGCAAGATAAATACACAATTCTTTAAGACTTTATATTTTCAGATTAGGTTACCTTCACCAATGGTGTTTTCATAGTTGTCAATGTCCAATGTAATATGTTAGAGTAAAAAAATCAAGGTAGATTTTTACAGTCTTGTTTTTTTTCCCTGTTTCTGCAAAAATGTGTTAGAGTAAAAAAAATCAAGATAGATTCCTACATTCTCTACAGTCTTGTTTTTTTTCCCGTTTCTGCAAAAACATATGATTAAGAGATACTCAATCCTAATATAAGAAATGCTACACATAGAGGCATGCAAGCCTCTTCATTACATTTAAAAGAAAAAACTAATACACATACTTACAAACGAGGAAAAAACTATTAAGCAAGGTAGACTTTTTTAAAATGTGTACCTTAGAGAAAGAAAAATACAAACCAGATGATGCTGAGCTGCTAAAACACATTTTATTTTAATTAAAATCCAAGAAAATCTTTTCCAATTTTAATCTCTAGAAAAAATGGCCTTATTTTTAGTTGCTATGACTATAATCAGGAGCTCTGGTAGCATAGTGCCTAAGGCACTTGACTGCTAACCAGAAGGCTGGCGGTTCAAACCCACCAGCCACTGCTCAGAAGGAAGGTTGGGCAATCTACTTCCATAGTGATACTGCCTCGTAAACCCAAGGAGGGGTCACTATGAGTTGGGGCTGACGCGACGGCACATAACAACAACAACATGACTATAATCATTCCAATTTATATTCAACCTTTAGAAAGCCCTATATTTCTAAAGGTTATCCCATTTATGAAAATAAATTACGGTTATATTTCAAAGAAAGGAAATTAAAGAATAGTTTCAGTTTAAATAACTGCATAAAAATACGCCACATTTAAAACATTTGTTTAGTTTTTGAATAAAATGTATTATCCAAAGGAAAGAAAAGGAGAAAAAGCCAAGATTTTTCGAAGTTCATTTTGAATGACCAGTACCTGAACTGGTGGTCCTAGTTCTTGAGGTGGAGCATGAATGGTCAGTCGTGGGGGAAGTGGATGTGGTGGGCGTCTAGGTGACTGAGGTGCTCGAGGGGTCTGCCTTTCACATGCTGATGATGGCTGCTGTTCTCTAGAAATCTCCTGCGAATAAGAAGACTCTGCAGTACCTGTATTTCCTTCACCTATAGGGAAACAGAAGCTTAATTTGAAATGTTACGTTTACCACAAAACAACTTGGACAATCCTTAGAAGTATAAAACTTGCCACTATAAACATTTATCTTACTAATATTTTCAGAAGAAAAATAGTGAGGTCTGATGAAAAAAACATGGGCTTTGGACCCAGAGATAGTAGACATCCACATTTACCAGCTGTGTGGCTTTGGGCAAGTCCCTTCACCTCTTTGAGTCTATTTCTTTGGTAATAAAGCAAATGCCACCTACAAGTAAGGTTTTTCTCAAGATTTCAAATAATGGACATAAAGCACTTAGCCCAACACATAATAAAATATACATTTACTAAACAATGGCGCTTACTATACTTAAAATGGGCAAATTACCTTAAGGTCAGACCACCAGGGTCTCACTGTAATACCCCCAAACAGGGTGAAGGAGTTTGGGGAGAAACCTTGTAACAGTTTTAAATTTGATTTTCCTAAGTTTTAAATTTCAACAGTCCCTCAATTGTCTGGGTTGTCTACATACTTGGTAGAAACAACAGAAGCTGTCTTCCACCATGAAAAATTGAATAGGATATCACACAGAATTCAGTAGTTAAGAAGTATGGGGTCTTGAATTAGATCCTAGCTCTAACACTTAGTAACTGTGACATGGTTAAGTTATTTCTCTGTGTCTTAGATTCTTCTTTGTTATACTAAAACTCACCACAGTACCTATACCTCACAAATTTATTTTAAGATCTAAATAATTCAAGACAAGTAAAGTTGCTCAGAAATGCATTTAGTAGCTACTGGCCATGTATCAAATTCATCCAGAATTTTATCTACATCACTAAGGCCTATCTTTGCTTTATTACTTTCTTTCTCCTAACCAAAGAAATCTCTAACAAGTATATCATGAGCATTCTATTACATGCCCTGTACCAGGGAAAAAAAAGCTATAAACACTTGCCCTAAACAGACTTAACTTTTAGTGATAACACAAGAGGACAAAAAAAAACAAAAAAAAACACCTCTCTATATTCTAACTATGTGACACAAAAAATGGTTTATTTACAATACGTTTTATTAAACCTAAGTCATTATGCACCCACCAGTCACTCCTCGGAAGGAAGTTTGGGCAATCCTACTTTCGTAGTGATACTGCCTCGGAAACCCAAGGAGGGGTCGCTATGAGTGAGTCAGGGCCGACTCGACGGCAAATAACAACAACAAGAAGTCATTATGCAAAGGCAAAATAGCATCAATCTCCCTCTCTCCCTACATATTTATCTCCCTTAACACCTAAGAATTTTACTCTTTTATATGATTAACTTTTTTCTTATTGAACATATATAACTTATACTTCAAAAACCCAACCTACACAGAAACCTAGATACACCATTTTCTCATCAGTCTAAATATAGATGTTGTTGTTATGTGCCACTGAGTCAGCTCCAACTCATAGGGACCCAATGTACAACAGAACGAAATACTGCCCAGACCTGTGCCATCTTCACAATCCTTGCTATGCTTGAGCCCATGCTGCAGCCACTACATCAGTCTACCTTGTTGAGGGTCCTCCCCTTTCTCATTGACCTGCTACTTTACCAAGCATGATATCCTTCTCTAGAGACTGGTTCCTTCTGACAACATGACCAAGATGAGATGATGTCTAACCATTCTTACTTCTAAGGAACACTGCCGTTGCACTTCTTCCTGGACACATATATGGCTTTACTCTATTACCCTCAATGATTATTACCTGTACCACTTAGTACTGTTATCTTTAAAATCAGGATATTAAACTCAAAAAATGCTGAGTCATAGCAACCCCCATTGGGTTTCAGAGGAAATCTTTAATCTTTCAATCTTTATGGAAGCAGATCGACCCCATCTTTCTTCTGTAGAACAGCTGGCATGTTCAAACCACTGACATATTGGTTAGCAGCCAAATGTCTTAACCACTACACTAGCAGATCTCTTTGGATATTTTACTAGATACTCACTAATTCTTTAAATCACATTTAAAAACACTGATCTGAAAATAAAATCATTTTCTACAATTTTCATAAACTTTTACTAACTACCAATTTTCAGTGGGCCTATACTGAAAGGAAAAGTAGTATTCTTTCTTCTGTACATTTAACACAAAGTATGGTTTACTGGATCAAATACATATATATAGATAGATAGATATATCTACATATAAACATATTTTTTTTCCATTGAAAAAGCAAAAAATACTGCAAAGATCCAATATGCACAAAACTTGAAATATGTGGCTTCATTAGACTGACCTCTTCTGGTTATGAACTGCTACTACTGCTGTTAGGAGTCCGATGAAAGTTTTCCGTATAAAAAAGGAAAAACAGCAGAAATACATGGCATTTATAATACTTTACAGATTTTAAAATGTTCGAATCTTATAGCAATCAGAATGAAGTAGAAAATATACAATGACAGTAGCTTACTGTTATAAATAGACTTTTTGAGAGACTAATAGTGACAAAGCTGTAAAAGCCAATCTCTTGTCAATTTACTAAGCAAGTTTTATTACCCCCATGTATTACTAGAAACACTGAATTTTAAAAAAGAAAAAAAAAAAAAAACTGTAACTAAAATCATCTCACCACTGTTTTGAGAATCAGCAGCTCTCTGATGACTTTCACCTCCACCCATACTTTCTTCTGTTTCTGTACCAGGATCAGTCCCATCACCACCCTAAATATAAAATTGTGATGCTTAAGTCCAAATAGTTATCTTTAAAAACCAAACAACAGATGAAGTAAATCACACACACACAAAAAACCCAAAAAGCAATCAAAGGTACAAAAAGTTTTGCTGTTCTGAGAATACAGGCCTTTCAATATCCTTGAAAAACTGTAAATCTCTTCCAAGCAAATTCTTAAAGAATGGTCAAATTTCTAGCTAGAGTCACCTCAGCATCGTCAACTTCATATCCATCATTGCCATCTGCACTACCAGTTCCTTCATTACTGTCTTCACCCTCGTCTCCCATCCCTGTATCGTCTTCATCATCATCATCTTCTTCCTCATCTTCCTCATAATCCTAGTAGAAAAATTCCCAAGTATAAATAAAGATCTAGGATACAGCACACATGCTATGTGTATCTTGACACCACACTTAGAAATTTAAGTGACTCGGCATTGATCGGGAATAGGAGCTATCCTGAGAATGGTACGGGAGTTAGTCTTGTGGCACCAAATAACAGAACTGTGATGCTTACCATGAATTAGTTCAATAATGATCAATTCTGAATTCTAAATGTACATGAGACCTTTTTCAAAGATTAAAGCTCTTAAATGCACTCAAAGTGTCAAGTGGTTCAATTTAAAATAGTAGAGTTGAAGAAGAAAAAAATAAAATTATACCATAAGCTTTTAAGAAAAACTGCTTTATTAAGGAAAAAAAATCTAAGATGAGAAGCCATACAGAATTAAATCCCAAATTAAAATAAGTTTCTCTCAAAATATTCTTAAAATGAGGATGACACATCAACTATTTCTGAAATGAACTATGGGGCTCCAAGAGAAGAAAATACCATTCTGTTTCTTCTTTTTAATTCCAGAAGCCTCAGAGCTTACAACTAAAATCATACAAGCATTTAACAATAAGATCTAAGATTAAGTTTAATCGAGGACAAATCCTAAAGAGCTTAGCAATCAAATAAAGGACTGGGATTTTCTATCACTTGCTCTATGTTGTTTCACTGTAAAATGCTAATTTTAGAGCCAATCAGGATAAAAGAAAAGGAAAACAATCTATACTGGCAGGGAATCAGAATTTACTGGTTCACGCTTCAGTAGTCCCAAGGATTTGAGCATTTTCATCCAAGAGTTTAAAAATGTTAGATGATTTCAAACCAAATTCACCTCATGTTCTCCGTCATTGTCATCATCATCCTCTTCTTCATCATCACTGTCAATAACAATGACATCATCTCCTTTGCCCTGACCATCCTGGGATGAAGTTGTTTGCTGATCTGACTGAAGGGGTCCAAGATCTATTTGAAGAGACTGAGAAGTTTCTTCACTGTCTTCCATAGGAGTATAATCTCCCTGGGTGACACCCTTTAGAAAAACAAACAAACAAACAAACAAAAAACTATCAGTGTGAAGTTGTACATCAAAGTAAAGATTAAAGAATAAGCATATACCAGTAGTATTTTATTTTAAAAAATACAGTTTTCAAAAGCACAATTAATTTGAAATATATGCTAAGGAAAATAAACATTTGGGTTTCTTTAGTCTTCCTCATAGAAGACACTCACATATATAAAGAATTATATACACCTCTTTGGGCAACACTTCAATAAAAAAGAGAGCGGGGATATACACACACATACACACACAAATAAATGTGTGTTCAAAACTACCAATGTGATGATACTGTAGCTTAGTGCTATATAACAGAGAACAATTCACATCACAATGTAAGTTCCACAGTACTTTCAAATTTTCTAGTAAGCCACATTAAAAAAAAAAAAGAAAAAGCTGGTGAGATCCAATATTAAGTCAATATTACGAAGACTTAACCAATAAACTCAAAATACGATTTCAGCATGTATACAATCTCATAAAAATTACTACTCAGCTATTTTACTGTTTTTTTTTTTTTTAACTAAGTCTTTAAAATACTATGTGTATTTTACTTATAGGATATGTCACTATGGACTAGCCTTATTTCAAGTATTTAATAAAGAATATGATTAGCAAACAGTACAGTAGCAGATCAAAACAAGAAAAAAAAAAGAATACCTATGGTCCTGCAATATTAAATTTTTTCTTTCCCCAAACCAGAAATAATCTGAAAAACACACTGAATAAAATATGCCATTATCATTATTTACAAAGATATCTTTCCCCATCCCCAAAACTGATGACTATCCAAGGCCCTCAAAGCACATTAAAGGTATTAGGTATTAGAACAATAGGATCAATTTGTATACAGGGTCTGTGCAGCCACCAAAGATAAAAGTGAGATGAAGTATGTTGTTGGAGCTCAAATCGATCTGGTTTCATGGTCAACCTTAGAACTGTAGTAGTTTAGCCTGGGGTTGAGTGAAGATAGTCTTGTGGCTATACAGCGTTTCCAAAGTCTAATAAGTCACTGCATACAGTAATTGTTTCTATAATGAATCTTGGCAAGTCTCCCTAGTGAGGAATTGTTCTAATATCATAGTTTTATGCAAATAGCATATGCTTTGTATATTTTTTTTTTTTTTTTTTTT